ATCTCTGCATTTGCCCGGCTTTGAACACTTGGCTCGGCGAAGAGTTGCACAAGGAATCCCAGGCGAACAAGGAGCAGCGAAAGGCCCGTGAGGAAAGGGCCCTGCTCCGAGCCGCCAACAAGGGCAAGTAAGCAGCCGCCTTTCGGGGCGGTTGTGCCCACCGGTGACTTCCTAGCTCTGGTCACCGCGTGGTTTTTCCCTCTGGGCCTACCCTTTTTGTTTACTGCCTGCTTCTTGCAGGCTCAGTTTTGATTGCCGTGCCATGCCTGAGGTTGTGATACACCGTGATCTTCTGCCTTTACGCCTCCCTGAGGTTGCGGGTGGATTCGAACAGCCTAGGCTGGGTCGCGGCACGAGACAACGAATTCGCCGGAGAATGGAAGCTGACGCCTGGGCACACGAAGGTGTGCAGACTCTGAACGACTTGTACGGGAAACCCGAAGGGGTAAAAGGCCCAGCTCCAGTGGGGTCCCATGCCGCGGCGCTTTCCAATCTGGAGCAGCGGTACAGGCGCATGGGTACTCCAACTTCTCGTCCCGAGGAAGCCCTTACGGCGCTTCTCGGCTCAATGGCAGGGTATGGAACCCTGGATGTTGAGTGCACAACTCGTGCCAGTTTCGACGAGGCTCTTGTCTCATGGCCTGCCCTGGGGAGCCATCCTGTGAAGGTGGCGTCACTCCTGGGGGAGGATTCCAAAAAGTTGTTGACTCTGGAAGGCGCCTCAGAGCTCATTGCCGATGCGGAAGCTGTGGGCAACAGTGAGTGCGTGAAGCCATACATCGATCCAGTGTTAGCCAATTCTCCTGTACATATGGGCAGATTTCTTGCCCGGCTTTTTAAATGTCGGATGCTCCAACTGATCCCAGGTCGTCGTGAACACACTGTTGGTGTCTTTTTCGTGCTTAAGAAGAGTGGTAAATTACGGCTGATTTTGGACACTCGCAAGGCCAATACGTACTTTCGGAAACCCCGGGCCTCGCACCTGCCCACCCCAGCCGCTTGGACAAGCATCGAGGTTGCGCCTGACGATACCCTTTACACTGCTCGGATGGAGTTGCCTCCTCATCTGCGTCAGTATTTTCGCCTCCCTGCCATTAAGTGTCGGTTCTTGGATAAAGATATGTGGCCGCAAGGTTGTGGACCCGAGGACTTTGTGACGCCAGAGTACGCCACTTTGCCTATGGGCTGGAACTGGTCCTTGTACTTTTGTCAATCCCTTCTTGAATCGGCTGCGGCCCAGGCCGGACTTGCCGAAGAGGACCGGGTTGAGGACCGCACATGGACGGGGAAGGTGAGCGGGGATCGTATTGTGCACGCGCAGTATGTCGATAACTTCTTCTGCAGTGGTACAAGCGCTGAGAATGTGCAAGTGGCCTTTGATCGCTTGAAGGACACGCTGGAGGGCTGGGGTTTCGAGATACACGAGGTGAGCGAGGCACAGACGGTCGTCCAGGGCCTGGGCTTGGTTATCGACGGGGAGCAGAAATGTGTTTCCCTTTCGACGGCCAGGATCTGGAAACTTCGTTTGGCCTCCCTCGCACTTTGCAATCGATGCAAGCCGCCAGAGCCCAAGGTCATAGAAAAGATTGTCGGCCACTTCACGTTTGCCATGATGATCCGGAGGGAGACGCTTTCTGTGTTCAGTGAAGTGTACCGGTATATGCGGTGCGAAAGGCCTTCCTCGCGGATGTGGGCAGCGGCTCGCAAAGAGATCAGACAGGCCTCCTCGCTGCTTCCACTGATGAGCACTCCCTTTGATCTCCCTTGGAGTACAACAGTGCTTGCGACTGACAGCAGCGAAGTTGGCTATGGTGTTTGTGCGCGGGAAGTTTGTAGCAAGCTCGTGACCGCCACTGCCAGGACCAGCGAAAAGTGGAGGTATGCAGTCGAAGGTGCTGTCAAGGCCCGCGCGAGTGCACTTGGACTTGATCCTGGGGGCTCGCACGAAGGTTCACTACATGACGAGTGTGCTCGAGTTGTGCAAGCTGAGTTCAAGGAGGTGTGTCCCTCGATTCTGGATCCTTCGAAGTGGCATGTGCTTTTTAGGGGCGCATGGACTTACAGTGAGAACATCCTCCGCACCGAGGGGCGTGCCATGCTCAGTGGAGTTCGGCATCTTCTGAGGACTCGCAGGTGCGCTGGGCAACGCTATTTGCTTCTAGTTGACAACCTTTCACTCGCCTTAGCCTGCTGTAAAGGGAGAGGCGGTTCTATGCTGGCGAACTCCACGTGCCGCCAGCTCGCTGCCCTCTCCTTGGCCGGCAACTGCAAATTTCATGTTCGTTGGATTCCCTCAGAAAGGAATTGCGCTGATAGACCGTCGCGACACCCTTGGCTAGATGCTCGAGCTGACCTAGCCTGTTCTAGCCACGAGCTTCATGGCTTGGGAGTCAAGGACCCTCCAGCTCACAGTGCCGGCCCACGCGCCTGCAAAACTGCGGGGAGAGAAGCGCCGCCTGACGGGCCCGCCCAATCAGGGCACGGCGGCTACTCTCGCGGGTACTCCTTCCCACCTCGAGCTGCACAAGGTAAGGAGAACAGCCACACAAGATCGGTACAACACGACCGTGAACGCCTTCTTGCAGTGGTGCCTCGCCTACTTCCACTTGTCTCAGGACTGGGATCGTTTACTGACGGCGTACATCAACGAGCTCTTCGCCCAGGAGGCGGATGTAAGCGCCGCGGAGTACGTTTTCGCAAGTTTTCGTTACCGGTTTCCAGACTACGGAAAGCATGGCTCGAGAACACTTACCCAGGACAATCCAAGCGCTGGAGGGCTTTCGCAACCTCGCGCCCCCGAAGATGAGACTGCCTACACCCCGTGTGGCCTTCGCAGCCGTGGTGGGGGTGTTCCTCGCCAGAAGCCTTGTCGAGATGGCGTTGGCTCTGCTACTTCAGTGGGATCTTCTCCTTCGTCCCGGGGAACTGGTGGGCCTGCGCCCTCAGCAGATTGTGAGGCCCGCGGATTTGGCAGCCATGCGCAGTTGGGGCGTCATTCTCGCCCCATCCGATGGAGGGTCAAGCGAGCCAAGCAAGACGAATGCATTCGACGAGAGCATTTTGCTGAGCCCGAGAATCAATCACCTTCTACCGAGTCTGGCAGCTCTTCTTCTGCGGCGGCAGCAAAGCCACTTCCTCTTCCCCTTCACGTGCAGTCAGCTAGCGGACGAGTTCAAGCAGGCCATGGAAGTCCTGTCGTTGCAGGGGCTCAACGCCACCCTGTACGGCAACCGTCATGGAGCAGCAAGTGGCCTTCGTTTGGAGGGCGTCCCGCTGGCGGAGATCAAACGAAGGGGGAGGTGGCTGGCGGACTCAAGCGTGAAGAGGTACGAGAAGGCCACTGTGGCCCAGCAGCAAGTACACAAGATCCCCATCCCGGTCCAGATTTACGGAGCCTTTGTGGAACAAGAGCTGGTCCGCAGCGCTGGATTGATGGAGCAAGCTCTGAAAGGACCTTCGCGCCCTGCAGTTCAGCAGCTGAGTCTCCGCTTCAAGCCGCTGCCCAGTGTGTAGTCTCTGCTGAGCAAGTGCGATCTCACCTACGGTCCAAGTTTCGCCTCGCTTGCAAGTCGGCTTTACAGCATCGCCGGCAAGTTTTTGTCGAAATCTTTGCAGGTCATGGTGTTCTCTCGCGTTGCCTTCGAAAACAAGGATTTGGTGTAGTCACTCTCGACAGCCGTGCAGGGCCACTTGAGGATGTTCGTTTGCCAGCTGTACTCAGTACCCTCAAAGGCTGGATTGCAGGTGGCGCTGTGCTGGGCATCTGGCTCGGTACCCCCTGCACAACTTGGTCAGTGGCATGCTCTCGCCCTCAGGTGCGCACGTCGAAGCATGTATATGGTGTCCCTGGACTGACGGGAAAACAATTGCTGGCCGTTCAACGCGGAAACTACACTTTGGAGTTCTCGTTGCGCATTGTTCGAGCCTGCATTGCTGCTCAGGTCCCTTGCTTTCTCGAGAACCCTCACAGCAGCAGAATGTTCTCTGCCCCAGCCTTGGTGCGACTACGCCAGCTCGTTTGCTGTCAAGAGTTCGTCTCGGATTACTGCCAGTACGGGGCTCCTTGGCGAAAGTCAACTAAAGTCGTTGGTTGGTGGAGTTCTTCCGAAGCGCCTTGCAAAAGGTGCTCTGGTGTCAAGCTCTGCTCACGATCTGGCCGGCCTCACGTGCACCTTGCTGGCAGGTCACCTCAGGGCGTTTGCTGGACCAAAGTTGCTGAGGCTTACCCGCTGCCGTGGGCTCGCGAGTGGGCGCAGGTGCTGATTGACTCTGCCCTCAACAGCATCCATCGCCGCATTGCCGCTCTCTCTGGTTTCATCTAATCTTTTCGGTTTCTTTTCGGTGTGTCTTCCTTTCCAGTACGTCATTCTGACAGACTTTGGGATCTCTTTACAAACAGCTGTTAGCCGAAAGAGCTGACAGCTCGCGTGGCTGTGTGTGTTCAGCCCGGAGCTTCCGACAACAGGCCGCTGGCTGCATCTCTCATAAGAAAACAGAGTTTTTGCACTGGCAGCTGCGAAGTCATACTTCTGCTCTGCAGGTTTCTGACTAAGCTCGAATGCCGCTTGGAATATGCTCAAGTTCTTTGCGGACCCACCCTCCCGCCCTGTGAAGATGTTTTCCGGTGGGATCTCTTTACAAACAGCTGTTAGCCGAAAGAGCTGACAGCTCGCGTGGCTGTGTGTGTTCAGCCCGGAGCTTCCGACAACAGGCCGCTGGCTGCATCTCTCATAAGAAAACAGAGTTTTTGCACTGGCAGCTGCGAAGTCATGTAATTGCTCATGTGTGTCTCTATGTTTTTGCAGCTAGAAGCCGATAACAACAACTGCAAATACATATAGATTCTGTATCGATTCTTTGCCTATTGTTTCTGTGCATCATAACACGGTACGCAAATTACAGAACAAATTCAAGTTTCGTGGCTCTGTTTCTTGTCGTTGAATATGCTCCAGCTACTACTACTTGCTACTACCTACTGCAACTTACGACGACGACTACTACTACTACAAATATTCGTGCTACGATTACTACTCCTACTAAACCACGAGTCTTCACCATATTACTCTTAACAGTTATCATGGCATTTATACAGTACACTCCTACTTAATTAAATAAGCTTTTCAATGTAACTGTACATAGTCTGCGGGCTGGCTGTTGTGCTGTATGCTTTTATGCATGCTCTTCTGTAATTCGTATTCATAACATTTTTGGCTCAAGTGAGCACGGCAGTGTGTCGTTGGTAGCTTCTCGTTGCCGCGACGCAATTGCGCGCAGCCCGTCCTGGGCGGACGTTCGACCTGTCACGGTCGTTGGACTTTCTGCTTGGACGGAAAACGAGGGTGCGTGCTGCCCCTTTGGGTTTCCGTTCTCCACAATTGGGGGCTGTTCTGGGAAACGGCCACCCAGGCGGCTGCTGCGCCGCAATCTTTTAACGTGGCCTCGAAGGCGCGCTTGTCGTGCGCCTTGAGGCCGTGGTCCTGTGTGGCACGGGGCTCTCTCCTTCGCTAGGCGACCATGAGCGCTGAGGTCGCAGGTCAGCCGGAAGGAGCCACGTTGCTGAGGTGCATCGAGGATGGGTCAGTGGAGTACCCGGAGAAGATGCCCTTTATGTACTGGCTCCGTTGGCGTAAGGAAACGGGGTCCCGTCCCACCAAGAAGAAGGACGGACGATCCACGACGCTAGCAGATGAACAGCGTCTGTGGAAGGAGACGATGGAATTCCTCTACGACAACTTCGATGCCGAAGAGGAAGAGGAAGAAGATGAAGAGGAAGATGAGGAAGCTCCAGCTGCGGAAGCGGGCCCGGGTGCTCAGGATGGCGATCCGGGCCCCAGCTCTGAAGAGCTTCTGCCGGAGGCCGGGGTACCGGCTCCGCGTCCTGCCGCTGCGCCGGCGGACGTGGCCGAGACGGCGCGCCGTGTTGGTGCGCTTGCTCTCTCGCCGGTGGCCGGCGGCCCGGCCCGTTCCGGGCCTCCCTCGTCTGCTGGGACGGGTGGTCCCGTCACGGCGGAGACCCTGCAGGCGGACCTGCGGGAGCTCTACCGTCCCGACCAGGAACCGGTCGCGGATTACCTGACGCGGGTTTCAAGGCTGGTTGTGGCCTTGAAGGCGCACCAGGCAGAGGTCACGGTGGAGGATCTTGAGAAGATCACTACCAAGGCCACCATCCTTGCCGAGGAATACGGCAAAATGGGAGGTGACTGGCACCCTGCCAGGATGGTGCGGGCCCTGCGCACCAGGTTTACCGTTGCCGCGGTTTCTCTTGGGTCGGAAGACCGAGAGGAGGTCGAGAAGGAGATCTCGTGCCTCGGCGAGCTGATCTTGGCCCTGGGAGGCAAGAGCAGCGGCGATCCCGAGAAGGTTTGGAGCACTCCTTCTTCTGTCCCGGCCCTGGCGGCCCGGACGGGCGCCGTTGCGGAGTCGGGCTCTAAGTCCGGAGCACCGGCGCCTCTCCCGGTGGACCTTCAGCTCGCGATCCCTGAGGATCCGCAACCTGGTCCGGGGGACTCACCCCTGAAGTCCCGCCTTGCGGCTCTGGAGATAGAGCTCGAAGGGCTTAAGAAGGATAAGCCCGGCGAGCCTCACTCCGCCAGCGGCGGAGCCGGAGAGCTCGCTGCAGCTTTGGCGGCCCAGACCGAGGCGCTCAAGGAGGCCTTGGCGTCTCGCGGAGGTCAGACGTCGATCACGACCGTGAAGACGGACCTCCAATGGCCCTCGCTCACCGACGATCGCTCCGACATCCGGGACGTGGTCCAGTTCTACGAAGAGTTCGAGGACGTCTGTGGCCTTGCCAACAACTGCAAGGGGATGAATTTCCGGGAGAAACTCATCGCCCTTCGTGCTCGCTGCCGCGGCTCGAGGCTTAAGACCTTTACTAACGTGTACAAGGCTGCCTCCAAGACCGGGGAAGTTACTGAGAATCCCCAAGCCGTTTACGAAAGGATCAAGCAGCGGCACCTTGTCTTCGGCGAGAGCCGAGAAGAGAAGGAGATGAGGGTGGACGCGGAGCACGTCGCCCTCACTAAGGGCCGTCTCACAGGGCACCAGTTCGAGCCCCTGTTTGAGGCCTCCATCGCGGAGCTGGAGAGTGTGGGTCTTGGCAAGACAGCGAGGGAGCTCTTCCTAAGCTACTTGCGCAAGATGCCTCCACATCTCCAGAAGGAGATCCGCGGTGATAAGCGGTTGTGGCCTAGCGACGGCGCATCCGCAGGGCTTCGAGGCCCTTCGACCTGGGAAGAAGCGCATAAGGTCGTCCTCGAATATGAGCAGCGTGAGGCTGCGCATCGGGTGACGGCTAATAGCGTGTACGCAGGTTCGACGGAAGACCCAGCCCTGTCCGCCGCGCGGAAGGAGGTCGAGAAGCTGAGGACGGAGCTCAAGGCTTCTAAGGCCGCGGCCAAGGCGGCCGCCTCTTCCACGCTTGCCGCTGGTCCGAAAGGAAATGGAAAAGGTAAGCCTATCTGTTTCCATTTCCGCGACCACGGGAACTGCCCAAAAGGGGACGCGTGCCCTTACTCGCACGACAAGGAGCTCCGCAAAAAGGCCCTCGCGGCCAAGAAGGAGCGGGACGCGTCCACCCTGGCGACAACGCCGGGGAAGGGCAAGGGCAAGGGCAAGGGTGGACCCGGAGGGCAGCCCAAAGGCAAGGCCAAGGCCAAGCCCAAGGCGAAGTCCAAGGCGGGCGCGAAGCCGCCAGGGACTATCTGCCCTTTCTTCAAGAAGAACGGGTCGTGCCGTAAGGGAGCGGACTGTGACATGGTCCATTCGCTTCCCGCCACTGGGGGAGCCGCGTTGCCTTCGAACTGGGCGGCCCCGAGTGGCGCCGGGATGGTGAATCCCTTCGCTACGCTCTCCATCCAGATTGGGAGCGCTGGCACGGTTGTTGCGGCGAACTCCTCCGCTTTCCCGCTTGCCAAGAGCTCGTCGTCGAAGTTCAGCTCGTTGGACGAGCTGCCTCAGGACTGGTGGCACCTCTGCGAGAACGAGGTCGGGGGGTACCAGTACAGAACAGTCGTGCAGGTCATCGACGGCATGGTGGAATGCATGCTGGACGGGTGTGCAGGCTCGAACCACATCACGGAGGAACTCCTCTGTGGGATCCTCAACCGGGCTGCTGCCTTGGGGATCGGCACGGAGGACCGGAGGTTTCCTGTCGTGAAGTTCGAACGCTGGGTGCATCCGGAGTTCGTCCATGGGATCGCTGCAGGGAAGCCGGTGCCCCTGAAGGGGGCCGTCGTGCTGAGAGTCGCTTTCTGGAGGGGCTCTCCCCCGACAACTGCAGCGAGGGTCCAGAGATATTCGTGCGCTGTAAAATAGCCGCGAAAGGAACCTCGGATTGGCATGGGCTCATCCTTGGCGGCCGCGCCTTGGATTGCTCGGGACGGCAGGGCTTGGGCTTCAAGCCCCTTCCTGACTGCCACTCCCTGGAAACCCTTGGGATTAAGATCCCCAGGTGCGAAGACTACAGT